TCGCCCGGGTACTTGTTGACACCGGCAGCAGTGTCAACATCCTTTACCTGGAGACCTTCCAGAAACTCAGGTTGTGTCGGACACAACTTGAACCCCTCAAAACCCCTCTCTCAGGATTCACGGGAGACACGGTGGAAGCTGAAGGGTCCATAGTTCTACCGGTCGAACTAGGATCAGGCGAGAAGACCGTATGGAAGAAGATGTGGTTCATCGTTGTGGACATCAAATGCATCCACAATGCAATCCTTGGAAGGCCTGGCATCAACAAGGTCGGGGCGGTGATTTCCATGCCGCACCTGTGCATGAAGTTCCATACTCCAGGCGGTGTAGGTGGAGTGAAGGGCGACCAGAGGAACGCGAGGGAGTGCTATGCCCGGGCAGTCAAGAAGATGACCAAGGGGGTCAACGCCATCTCCCAGAAATCACCAAGGGAGAGACCCGAGAGAAATTGGAGCCTGAAGCAAAAACGGTGGAGATCGAACTTCACCCGGGTGATTCATCAAGGATGGTCAGAATTGGAGCGAACCTCCCAGAAGATCTCAAGGAAGAATGCGGGCATATTTGCATGGAGCGTGGCAGATATGCCCGGAATTGACCGCTCAATCATCTGCCACCGGCTGGCAGTGAGAGATGGAAGTCGACCGGTACGCCAGAAGAAGAGGTACCAGGCCAGTGATCGGCGAGACTTCGTCAAGAAGGAGGTGAAGGACCTCCTTAGTGTTGGTCACATTCAGGAAGTCAAATACCCAGATTGGCTGGCCAACGTGGTTCTTGCTCCCAAGGGGGAAACATGGAGAATGTGTATGGATTACACGGACTTGAACAAGGCGTGTCCGATGGATTCATACCCCCTTCATAGTCCAGATCAAATGGTGGACGAAACTGCGGGGTGCGAACTCCTAAGTTTCATGGATGCCTTCAAGGGCTACCACCAAATTCACATGGCCAAGGAAGATGAAGAAAAAACATCATTCCTCACCCCCGAAGGAACCTACTGCTACCAGGTAATGGCGTTTGGCTTGAAGAATTCGGGGGCAACCTACCAGCGCATGGTGAACACACTCTTCAAGCCGCTGCTGGAAAAGACCATGGAGGCATACGTCGACGACATGCTGATCAAAAGCCAGGTATCTTTCAACCACCCGGCTGATATGCGTGCCATATTTGAAATCATGGCAAAATACAACCTCCGGTTGAATCCTAAGAAATGCGTCTTCGCGGTTCGTACCGGGAAGTTCTTGGGATTCATGGTGACCAAGAGAGGAATAGAGCCCAACCCAGAGAAGATTCGGGCTCTCACCGAGATGCAAGCCCCTACCTCCGTTAGGGACATCCAAAAGTTGACCGGTCGCCTAGCGGTCCTCAGCCGGTTCCTTTCCCTGTCGGCTGAGAGATCCCTGCCCTTCTTCAACGTCCTAAAGAAGGCCAACACATTCACATGGGATGAAGAGTGCCAGAGGGCATTCGAGGAGCTGAAAGAATGCCTAGTGTCGGATATTGTATTGTCCAAACCCGAGCCGGGTTAAACTCTGTATCTATACGTGGGAGTTTCCCCAAATGCTGTAAGCTCTATTTTAATAAGAAATGATGGGGCACAAAAGCCAATTTATTATGTGAGCAAAGCACTTAACGGGGTTGAAAGTAGATATACAGCGATGGAGAAAACAGGCTACGCGCTTTTTATCTCCTCAAAGAAGTTAACATCCTACTTCCAAGCTCACCCGGTGGAAGTCTCGACTGACCAACCACTAGGCGCAGTATTGCGGAACTCAATGTCCTCCGGGAGGATGGTGAAATGGGCAATGATGTTGACTCAATTCAACATTGAGTACCGGCCAAGATCAGCAATCAAGGGACAGGCCCTTGCAGATTTCCTGGTAGAAATGACCGGTATAACTCCTGACCTACCGGTCAACAAGCCCACTGGGCAATGGTGGGAGATGGCAGTTGATGGGGCGTCCGGTCCTAGAGGATACGGGGGTGGTATCGTGTTTACCACCCCAGAAGGGTTCAAGATCTACCATGCAATAGTCTTCAACTTCAAGCTGACGAACAATGAATCAGAGTATGAGGCTCTAGCTGGAGGGCTCAGACTTGCCCAAGCCTTTAAAATCATCCGGGTTAGTATCAAATCTGACTCGAGTTTGATTGTGGGGCAAGTGACCGGCAATATGGAGGCTAGGGAAGGACGAATGGCTCAATACAAGGATGTAGTGCTTGCCTTGTTGAAGGGGTTCGAGGAATTCAAAATCGCCCAAATTCCCCGGGCAGAGAACGCGGATGCAGACCTTCTCTCCAAGTTAACGCAGTATGCTCCTGAGCATGTTTCAAAACTTGCCTGGGTAGAAATCCTGGACCGTGCCAGCATCGAGAAATTGGAAGTTGCCGCCATAACAACAACAGCCCAATCTGACCGGTCAAACTTGGTCAGGGCGGATGACCACTGGATGTACGATCTGATGGAATACTTGATGGACGGGACCTTGCCGGAGCAAGAATACCGGGCAAGAAAAGTGAAGCTCAGGGCATCCCGGTTCCAAGTCCTTGATGGAAAGCTGTACAAGAGGGCGTTCGGGGGACCCCTCCTGAGGTGCCTAACCAACTGGGAGGCTGAGCGAGTCATAACGGAATTCCATGAAGGTGTATGCGCGGCACACCAAATGTCGCGAACCCTCTCACAACGAATCTGCTGGGGTATTACTGGCCGACGATTGTCCAGGACTGTGAGAGGTATGTTCAGAAATGTAGAACATGCCAAGTGTTTTACAAGTATCCCAGCAGACCGTCGACCTACTATCACCAAGTATCCCGGTGGCACACCAAATGTCGCGAACCCTCTCACAGCGAATCATCTTGCTGGGGTATTACTGGCCGACGATTGTCCAGGACTGGTTTGCACCAATTTGCTGCTGGCGCTGCTGCTGTACTTGGCCGAAAGCACTGCTAGGACTGCCAGGAAGAAGATGCTGGTTTTGGGTTTTCTACCTATCCACTTGCTGTGTCTGAACTCAAACCGAGGGCAGCAATGAATGAAGGCTTTCAGGACAATGTGACAACTTCTAGCACTCGGGCCTTGGCCCTTTGCCATGCCAGCGGATAACCTTAACATCTATATATAGTGCTTCTTGTTTTGTCCCTCTTTCTTTAGCCATGCACCGAATAGATTCAAAAAGCATCTTTAGAAAAGAAGTTTAAGATGTCAACTCGAAGAACAAGACCCCCTCTAGTGCAAGGCCTTGTTTCAGACAGCAATGGATTTTGCCATCTTCTTTTTGTTTTTTTTGCTTTTATGAGTGAGGTTGATTGATTGTATGGGTTCCCATGTACTTTTTATTTTCTTTCAATAAAAGTGTTTATTTTTTAAAATGATAATTGTTTTAAACAGCGGTTATTTGATTGTTGTCTAAACTTTCGCTCAAAGTTACAAAAGTAACGTTAGATAGCATACACATATTCATTGTAGTGATGGTTATAGTTTATTTGAACTTTAAAAAAGTTTGAGACTTAATAGCTAAACTACTGTTTAAAAAGAGTATTCTTAACTTATTATAAAAAACTCTAGCAAAACAATCATATGACACAGAAAATTAGTAATAGATTACTATTTCTCATAATTTTAAAAACAATTCTACGCTTACTATCCATACTACTGTTTAAAAGAGTTTTCTTAACTTATCCTAGACAACTGTGAAAAAAAACCCGTGTGACACAGACTACTAGTAATACATTACCGTTTCTCATAACTTTAAAAATAGTTCTAGGCTTTATAGCTTGACTATTGTTTAAAATTCGTATTCTTAATTTATTATAGACAACTGTGGCAACAAAAACCGTATTTTGATATGACACAGACAACTACTAATAGATTACCGTTTCTATGAACTTTAAAAACAGATGTTGGCTAAGTATCTAGACTATTGTTAAAAAAGAGTATTGTATTCTTATTATAAACAACAGTGCCAAAAATACTATATGACATAGACAACTATCAATAGATTATTGTTTCTCATAACTGTAACGCCACAAAATAAGGCCTAAATTTTATTATAAAACAAAAGTAAATTTGAATATCATTTTGACCAATGAAGAATATTTAGACGTTTGACCAAAAATAAAAGGATTTCAAAATAATGACTTTTTGTTTAAAACTTATTTTTTTATGGATATGTCTCGAAGAGACGAATCCAACGGTACATTTTAAGAACCAATCTGATTTATAGATTTCAAGTTATGTCAATTTTAAATATTAAAATTTGTAACTTTGACCCATAAAAATAAACTCAATTCAAAAGAGATTTCATAAGATTAGAAATCTAAATCTTTGACACTTCACAACACCATATTTATCATTTGGATTTAATTCATATAATTATATCTCATTCATACTATAAAATTTATTTATGACTGAGACAAACCTGAACACTGAGAAAAAATAAAAGTTCTCAGAAAAATATTTCGATTACATCAAAATTCTAGTTTTGACAGTCTCATTCCAAAAACGTAACCCGTTTCTGATTCGGAGCAGTTTGGGCGAAAAAGCGCTTACCGTTTGGAGTAAATTGTTCAGTTTTGGCAAGAAGCCAAAACTTTATTTTCCAAATCTCTCCCAAATCACGTAGCTTCCCTTTGTGATGCTCACAATTCCAAGATTTCAACTCTCCACTAACTCCATTAACACAACACTCCAAAAATAAATATATGATACTCCACGACCACCATCTTCATCATTATCATCATGTTCAACCATCATCACCATCATCTCATCTCTCCCCTCTCCACTCTCTCTATGTCGGCCAAACCAAAGGAAAAGAAAAGAAAGTTCATCTCCATAGTTGGTTCAAGGAAGAAGAAGAAGAAGCAAGAAAACCATCCAAAGTTCTAAAATCCTAAGTTCAAACACAGCAGCCCACTTCTAGGTAAAAACTAAAATTTTCCATCCATTATCTCGAAATACTTCTTGAACCAAAGTTGTACCCCCGGACGATACAAATCCAGGCCAACAAACGGCTCGCGATTTCGTTTAGTAACGAAGAAGATATGGCCAAAATACCGGGACTGCGCCAGTGGTGGCGAGCTCCTCGGGTTGGACCATTTTCTTCACCAAATTCATATTGTTTCATTCCAAGAACTCACCATAAACTCTCTAACGATTATTAGAAACATCCGGAAGGTATCGTAGAGAAGGTTCGGTGTTGGAATATTGAAGTTAATGGGTTAATCGTTGGAACCGTTGTTCACCGGAGTATTCAAAATTCTGGACAGCAACTTTCTCCTAACTTCAGGTCCAATTTACGCTATTTTAAATTCATTATCTCAAAATACTTTCTATACGAAAGTTATAGCATTACATCTTAGGAATTCACAGAATCAAAGGCTTGTAATTTCGTGAAGAAACGATGGAGATATGCCCAAAATACCGTAGGCTGTCCAGTTGTGACGGAAATGACAAAGTTGGCAAATTCCAATGTTGTTTCCACTCCCGCTCATCCGTAAGGTTTCGGCCGATGATTTCAAGGTCTGTACCTTTGCATTAGACTTGTCGAATCATTCATCACATATGTACATGAACATATATGTTAATCCATATGTTGAAATCCTCCCAAAATATATATTTGATACACATAAAAATTTATCTTTGTGTTAAGACCAAATACACCAAATCCATAAAGTTAATAATATATATACATAAGTATATATAAATATTTGAAATCAACCCAACAATATGTATATATTAATCAAAGGTGTTTAAAAGACTTAAAGAAGTATTTTGGACACTCAAAATATCAAGAGAAACTTTCGCAGACCCAAACGGTCGATGCAAACGGTCGACCGTCGCGTTAAACTTCGAGACGAACCAGGACTATCGGCCAAACGGTCAACCGCAGGTGGCTGACGGTCGACCGCCGCCCGCCCAGCCGAGGACCGTCTTTCTCAGTCAGTCAACAACGGTCGACCGCCGGTCAACCGCGGTCGACCGTCACGGTGTTCCGCCAGCCCGACGAGATGAAGATCAAGGTCGACCGTCGCGTCTCACGGGCGACCGTTCCGAGCCCTGTAACTTATTTAAATGATATTTTAATCATGTTTCATCCAAATAAACTAATGCATGATTATATATTCATATTGTTTGCAAATTATTCACATCATGTCATTCATTTCATCATTTATATTGAAGCATATCACATCATGTGCATGCGTAACAGATCATGCGTAATTGCGTCTCTTATAGTTGTGATTGTGCGGGACTTAGCAGTCCGACATCACGGACCGGGCTTAGTGTACGTACATGGTACTTAAGTACCACCCCTATTTCTGCGTGAGTTCGTCGTACCAAATGGGCGAATCTCATAGTTCAAGGCTCGTTCTTGCGTCTTAGAATCATGCATCAAGTACATTGATTACATAGGTGTTATGTAATCATCATCAAGAACAAGTATATTGATTACATAAGTATCATGTAATCATCCTCACAAGCAAATTTAATTAAATGTGCCATCATGTAATTATCATTAAATATTTATTATCATGATTCATAAAATTGACCATATGATATGATGTGCCATATCATAATTTTTAATATACATTTTTGTGGACACACACACACAAATATATATATATATATATATATATATATATATATGTATATGTATATGTCTGTGAATTATTCTACAATTCTAGCGTGGTACCACTCAGCGGTTTCACTGAGCGTGTAGTTTGTATTTTTCGTTGACTACACGTAGGTAACAAGAAGACAATGATGAAACCACTCCCGGAGGACATTGAGTCAGAGGAGATGCAAGGATGGCAGACAAATGTTTGATCATCAAATTTTAAAATGTGTCATGATTTGATTAATATTGTACTTCCGCATTACTCTGAAAATATTTTTAAATGGGTCACGATCCAGAGTCTGTAAATTTAATATTTATAAGAAATTGTCATCTTCAAATGTCAAGTGAAATTTTTATTTAACTCTCGTTTCACCTTAATTTGTGTAATTCCGGGTTATACGGATTAGGGTGTTACAATAACTTTAAAAACAGTTCTAGACGGAATAACTAGACTACTGTTTGAAAAGAGTATTTTTAACTTATTATTGACAACTGTGATAACAAAAACTGTATTTTGATATGACACAAACAACTAATAATAGAATATTGTTTTTCGAAACTTTAAAAATAGTTTTAAGCATAATAGCTAGACTACTACTTTTGTAGCCAACAACAACAAACAGTAGTCTGATTTTTTTTAACTACTTTTTTTCAATAAACAGTAGTTAATCAACAGTTGTCTCACACTGTTTTTGGCGTAGTGATGAATCATTTTCTAATGCATGGCCGTATTAGGATAGTTTCACATTTAATTATTTACTTACCTTTTGTATTTTAGGAATGACTTTATTATGGTGTGAATTCCTTGGTAAAGGATTAATATATGTAGCATGGTCCTAAAATTCTATTTAAATTAATTAAAAATATTCTTTTTTTAAAATAGTATCTATATTTCTTCATATTTATTTTTAATTTTTTATATTATCATCGTCATTGGAGTTCGTATTGTTGTAATCTGTATACAGATATTTAAATATTATTGATTATCCAAGATACATAATTAAGGATTGCCATATATAAGTAAAGATATCGAAAATAATATTAGTATTATCCAAAATACATAGTATAAGTAAGGTGATGAATAATATATATACTCGTGATCATAACTTATAAATTTTGTATTATTTAGGATTGTTTCTTAATAAGATTTTCCGTAAATTTTGTTAACGATTATATATAAGTAAGGTGATCAATAATATATACTCATGGAATTAAGACAAATAAGTAAGGAATCAAAAATAGTATTGGAATTTTTATTAGTATAGGTACTCTATTGATTTCAACCTATATATATACAAATTTTCATTAATCAATCTTTGTTACTTATTAATTTAAGTATGAAATTTATAAATATGAAAGTAAGATGAAGGATTAATATATGTAGCATGGTTCTAAAATTCTATTTAAGTTAAATGAAAATTATTATTATTATTTTTTATTTTTTAAATAGTATTTATATTTTTTCATATTTATTTTTAATTGTTTATATTAAGAGTTCGTATTATTGTAATCTAAAAACATATATTAACATATAATATTATTGATTATCCAAGACACATAATTAAGGATTTCCATATATAAGTAAACGGATCCAAAATAATATTAGTATTATCCAACATAAATAATATAAGTAAGGTGATGAGTAATATACTCGTGATCATCATTTTCAAATTTAGTATTATTTAGGATTGTTTCTTAATATATTTTTTTTGTAAAAAATAATATTCTAATTTCCAGTAATATATGTACTCTATTGATTTTAACTCTTATTATTAACGAATTTCCACAATAAACCTTTGTAACTTATTATTTAAGTATGTAATTTTTAAATATGGAAGTAAGATAAAGGATTAATATATATAGCGTGGTCCTAAAATTCTATTTAAATTAAATGAAAATTTGCGGTCAATTGTTTCCAACAGGAGATCCGCTGGTGCATCGTATATAATTTATTTCCGCTAGTTTACTTAGATATTACGTGGCGTGCTGACATGTATAAATTTTGCCACATGGACATGAAACATGTCAAATTTATGTGCATTCGAGTCTCTTTTATTATATTAAAGGATAATGATGATATAGCATAGGATAAGATTGAAAATTTATATTGGGGACCCTAAAACTTTAAAATTTGTAAGGATATAAAAGTGAAATGTGGGTAGGGAAACAAAAGTCGATCGAGAGCGCCGAAATAGGGTTAGGGAGGGAGGCGGTATTGGAAGTACGATGCAAGGCAAGGACTCGACAGAGATCGAGAGAGGCATCATCATGGAAGAGGAAGAGCCGGCATTCGTGGTGTGCGGGCAAAGAGCTGTACCCGGTGACGAACTCCCTAGGAAGGGTTTGGCGGAATTCCACAAGGTGTTTTTGGGAGGGAAGGGGAAAGTTGTTGAGAATGCGTATCCACCATTGCTGAGTAGCTTAGGAGCATTCTGTTTGGTAGCCTTGCCTCCGCCGCCCAAGGAGGGCGGGGGAGGAGGTCCGACGGTGTACGTGGTGGGCGGTTTGGGTCCTGGTGAGATAGGTCCACCCAACGATGAGGACGACGACAAACTAGTTCTCTACCCCGGCGGGTGTCGTCTTGTCGATGGGGATCCTCCGAGATGGGAGCGGATTCAAACTCCCATTCACAATGGTCGCTACTCCACCTGTGCTGTCCATCAGGGGAAGATTTATTGCTTTGCATGTTATGATGTGGATCCTGAGGTATTTGATCCCCTTGATGGTAATTGGCACAAATCCCTCCTATCTAACCCGCCTCATTCACTTCGGGATCTAAGGGTATATCGTCCCGTCCTCCCTCATCCTTCCCAACATCGTATCCTTATTCACCTTTCTGATGGTTCCCTCTGGGCTTTCTATCCTCCAACCCGTCTCTCTACTTTTGCTTGGGAGCTTGTTGCCTCCCATTTTGATCATTGGGGCAATGTTGTTGCTCTTTATGAAAACCTCATTTTCATTCATGATTTTTATACTCCCAGTTCTTTCTTTGTATACGATTTAGACACCTCTAAATGGCTGGATGTAGTTTGGTCCTCAGAAACCTGTATCAACATTGGCTATAATATTACGTCCGTGGGTTTTGATTCCTTGCAATGTGTGGGCGATGGGGTGTTCTGGGCGGCTTCATGGTCGCCCTCAATTAAACGTAATGAGCCCGTCTATATTTATTTCCTCAAGTTCAAAGCAGAGTACGTCCCAGCAACTTCAACCATTCGCCTCACTCCTCTTACTTCTCAGATGCATCCTATTCCAGGAAACATCACTGTCAATCGTTTCCTATTGCTCCCACCCTAGCTAGAGGTACGTGTTTTATTTTTCTTTTCCTTTATTTGTTCTTTACCCTGGCTGATAATATAGTGTGTGTGTGTGTGTGTATTCCTTTTAAAAACATATTTTTTTAAAAAAAAGATAAGAAATGACATAAAACACAACACAAATGACATAAAACTACATCAAAGAAAAATAAGAGTTCTGTTTTGGCTATGTTCACCTTAACTCCAACCCAAAAGAACATGTGGACACTCACTGCATTTTTGGACTTGCAATTCTCAAGCACAATGATAATATTGTGTGTGTGTGTCTATATATATATATATATTTAATATATATATATATATATATATATATATATATATATAGCCAGTCACAGTGATGTAAGATGAAATCCCATTCATCAGTTCAAAAACTTGGAATCACATCATTCCTTATGCATAAAATGCTGCCAACATTTAATATAAAAAATTCAAGACAATATAGATACCATTGCAATATATATTGTAAAAAAATTGCACAATACCAATTCCATTGCATGGAGATCCCAAGCCATGAGCCATCACTATTGCCACCCTGGGTTGACTCCTACTCCGATAAGCTTGTTATAGATTTCTATAGGCATCATGAAGTTGGTGATTCCCTTAGACTGCATATTATCTCGCACACTAGAGATCTTTCTCCAATACCAACACTTGTCTTGCTTTGCTTGATATTGCCATGGATCTTCTTTCTTCAAATATATGGAATGTATCCATTTGACACACTACACATCTTTCTTATTGTTTATATCCCAGAAGAGCTTTGTTTTATTCTAGGGAACTATATTTTTCAGTAAAATACCTTAACTTTATCAAACCTTCCACCAAAAAGATATTAACCAGTTTGGAGGTAAGCTTCTGGTCCTAAATCAACATGGATGCTGATTTGGCCAAAATTTAAGCCAAGGCATGAACATTTAAGCCAATTCTTGCTAATTGAGACCGAAGAAAGAATTATGAGGAACAGGAAATGCCAAGGCAACTTGACTGTAAATGTTTGAGAGGGATTATACTTTTTTGAA